TTCCAACCCTGTTGATTCTATGATTTCCACGAAACAACTGCACCTTCTGTGGCTGAAACAGCCAAGGCAACTCATGTGCTGCTATTGCAGTTTATTTTACTGCTGCACCATCCAATGTGATGGAGCCCTGACTGGGTCCCCCAGACACTGTTGTAGTCTTCCTACTAATAGTGCAGGCACCTCCTCACTGTGGAGCATGAGACAAAGCATTAGCTAATTAGGCACACCTCCAAAAATTCATGAAGTAGCAATTCTTCACTGTTGCTAAACAGAGTTGGATTTCAGCCTAGATTTTTCTGCCGGAAGGAAACAGCTATGCCACATTGACAATTTCATCAGCTGCTTATTACTCCTCTCTTTTTAACTTCCTTATTCATTCTGTCCTTACACAGCTATAAAAGAAAACCAAAGCAGTCTTGCCTGTAGATAGTCGAAGTGTTTCTCATATCAAATCCTGACAAGTTTATCCTTCCCAGGAAAGCCTGTGCGAGCTCCGCTGTGATATCATACACTGTGTCCAACTGCTTTGTCGCGTTGTCATAGCTAATGAATAGTCTGATCTGACCAGTACAAACAAAATGATGCATCAGCATTGTGAAACAATCACACCCAATAAAATATATGTTTGACACACTGAATTAATTGACCCCATTCATGCTATAGAGAAAGGAAGCAGATAGATTTGGATAACATGGCATTTTGGAAGGCAAAGCTGAGTGAGTGATTTGAGCAATTCTCTGCCAAACTGTCAAATCGTTTGAGGGTCTTCTATTATTTGCCCCTTCCAGCAGAAGTCACAGCAGTCTGATACAGATAAATAATTACATATTAACAACAGTCACTTTAACATTCAAAAAATAGAAGAATATTTGTAAAGAATATATTTCCCTTAATTAAAATATATAAAGCTCTTTTTCATGTTTAAGTTTGCATTTGTGCTCATATTATTTGCAGTTGACATCACTTGGCAATGACATATCCAACCACACTTTGTTACTTACTTCATTGAGACTAATTTTCAGAATTTCTTCTAATGGGAGATGGACCATGTATCTTCCCAAAATCCATAAGCTTTCTGCACTGACCCAAGAAGTTGATTCATTGAACTCTGTTTTGTACAAATAAATACTCACTACAGTGTTAAGAAAATAATTACTTTTCAAATATATTGTACCCAGTATATTGTTACTGGTAAATAACCAGAAAAATCCTTAGCAGAGAGTCAGGTTCCCTCCATTAGCTCAATTTTAGCACCACGTTTTTATGAGCCCATACATTTCTTAACACAATTAAATAGTGTTTCAAATGTCTCAGATTTTCTCATATGAAAGCAATGTTTTATGTCATTGCAATAGAAAATGGATAAAGTATGGGACAGGAAAGATGAAACCAATAGTATTAAATAGGGAGCAGTATTTTTTAAATTCAGTTTTCCTAATCAACTGCATTATTTAAGAACATCAGGAAGGCATGAAGCTTTGTAACACTTTATATATATTATACATTATTATTGATGATGCCACTTATTTCAGCAATATGCAATAGCAAAGACAGAGAAAGTGAAAAATAGTTCAAATACCCACATGGAAATAGACTGGCAAAATACAAAATACTGCACAGCAGTTAAAAAAATGGCATTCATTTAGTAACATTCTCCCAAGGATTGAAAATGAAATCAAGACCCAAATATCCCTGAGAAGAAAAGTATTGATGGGCTTTGTGGCTACTCTGAGCTACAGCAACTTTCCTCCACGCTGTCATAATTTGGATGGCTCAGTGTGTGATACCTCTGAACATATTCCTTAGTAGTGCTAATACAGCTCTGTTAGAGTAAAACCATCAGTGCCTTTGAAGAGTTTTCAGTATCTGAAAAACCCATCTTGTACACAACAGCAGCTGAAGGACCCATTTCATGGGCTTTTTGAAAACACAAACCTAAGCTCCTTAACTGAGACAAGACGATGCTCCCAGCAGACCTGTCAGGCCTCTGGTTTTTGAAGTGATACTACCTTCCATTACCAGGAATATTACGAGAGTAGAAAGACATGACAGAAGAGTTAAAGAAAAACTAGCACAATTTAAAGATGTTGACTGTGACTTTTAGCAGAACAGAGCTGCAGTTATCAGCCACAGTAGCCGTGATCCTCTCAAACTGATCCCTTTCCCAGGTGGTCCCAGTGCTGCCCACGTGTAAAGTTGAAGTGAATAAATCACACTATTGCAGGGTTGCTGTCCTGCCCTCTGTGCTGTGACCCGTGGCATGCAGATAAACTTGAGTGAGCTTTAGACTTGCCAACCTGGCTGTTGGTAGCAGTCCAACTGTGCCTGGTCAGTGCTGGTGGCTCTGCAGCTCATACTACCAGAACTAGCTGGGAACCAGCCCACACCCAGTGCCTTTGGGAGTGGATTCACCACATTTGCACTGCATTTGGCATGTGAATCAGGAGGTATGAGAGCAGTGGCAGTCCTCAGTCCTTCCTGAGCTGGGTGATCTTGTACAACCCGAGCGTTCACTAATGTTTCAGACACAACCCCACGTGGCTGACACTGAGGCATTTTCCCAGGACTGCTGAGTATCATCAGGCAAGTTCTGCATCTTTGCTTCCCCAGCGATGCCCTGGCAGTAACACCAACTCACAGCTGTGTCATGAACTTCCTCTCTCTGACTTAATGGGTTACTCTGATATTTTGAAATGGTAGAAGACCCAGGAGACAAATTTAGCTCTACTGAAGCAAGTGGGCATTTTGCCTTTGATTTTCAGGGAA